TAATGTCTTGCTTCATTTGGAATATAAACTACTCCTCTCTGAGCCATTAAACTGAATTTAAGAAGTTGCGGGAGGAAAAGCCCTTGCAACCGACCATCGTGAAAGTTTCAAGATGCTGCATAAATTTTCTGTTAATGTCGTCACTCCTGTGTTAAGGTGAAGAAAGCTACGCAATTCCTATATAGTACAATATTAAATTCAAACGCAAAAAAAACAACACTCCATATTGGCGCTAAAGGGGGAACACCGCGCCGCTATTGGCATGACGTTCGACTTCCCCGTGTGACAAAAGACACAAAAGCGTGACTAGAGCCCAACCTATCTCTCCAGCGGAGTGTACCGCGCTGGATCAGACCGGTAGGACCAAAAACCACACGCAACCTAAAAGCCTTACTGTCCACGGCACTATAAGCTGCAAACCTGCTCAGCGTCGTGGGACCAAATGGAAGGAGTGTAGGCAATTCATAATTCGCTCTAGCCAATGTAACAGCAATTTAGGCCGACACCGCCAGCAAGTGCTGAATTGCAAAACGAGGTAAGGCTGATCGCAATTGAAATAGTGCGAAAACACGAAGCTTGGGGAAGTCGCTGCGAGCCTTAACCGCCACTGATACGTGCGAAGCATGTATCCCCCCCCACAAGTGAAATAAACAAGTGATGACTAATATGAGGTAACGCGCGCCATGCGAGGTGCAGCAGACATGGGAACGTTTTGCGGAGTATAAATGAATTTATAATTGGTAACAATCAGAAGACCACCTTATTAAAACTTTAATCAACCAATCTGCAGGTAAGCCTGCAGCAGCAGCAGTAGGAGCAGCACCGATACGAAAACTATGGCCCTTAAAAGCGTAAACCGGCCTGACGAGACGCGTCCCTGACAAGGGAATCAACCGATTTTCTTGTAAGTAGACAACCGCAATCATGTGAAAAAAGGGGACCAAGGGGACGCGCAAGTAAGAAATAATTACGCATAGCCTTGATCGCGCAAAACGGTGAAGGCGAACACGCAATAGTTAACGAGTGACCTCTACGAAACGTTTCGGTCTTAGATGGCTGCAAAAACAAAATCTGAATGGGCTCTTACGTAATGGGGCCTTATTTCCCTATTTTAGTTCGTAGCCTTTAATACACAGACAAAGGAAAATTGCCATCGATTTGTTCAACCGATTTTCCTCTTTTCAAAAAAGGATGAAAAATCTTTGTGTTTTATTAGAGTGCAAACCGAAAATAAAACTGTCCCATTTTATCCTTGGGTAAATGGCTTTTAACCCCGTGAAAGCACTTTTATGTGTGAATGTATCGGTATGACTTTCCCAAGGTGAAACTGTTCTTAAGTTATTTCTTTCACTTGGGCAATTTATCGGCAAAAAACCGCAAATATGAAGGTGGTCAGAACCCAGAGCAAGCCCTAAAAGGTAGCCTGAATTTCATCCGATTACTTCGAGTCGTGTTATTACTCCCTCAGGAACGTCTGAATCGACCAGGCCGTTAATGCCGTCCAGTGACGTCACTACTCCTTTACCTTTGCTTTAATTTATGCAAAAAGTAAAACACGATTTTTAAGTGGCAAACCGAGAAATATCGTTTGGAAATGTCTGCATGATACAGAACTGCTTTATTTTTTCGATCGTAATTCATGTTTAACGTTCAAACTATCAACTGCATGCAGTACAACTCTGAAGCGGTTGTACTAAATTCTATTATCAAACTCGGTCGCAATCACGCAATGAAACGGAACACTTAGTTCAAAAACAGAATCATTACACTTGACGGTAAAAATAGGACAAATAGCAAGAAGGTCGAATTATAACATTGATCTCAGAAAACTTCGCGTAAACAAAATCACCGGCCACCGAAACCACAAAGCGGCTCTAAATGAGAAACCTACCGACTCTCCGCAATGATTCTTCATTCGCAGTTCAATTTAGCATTTCAATTTCGAAGACAAGGTCAATTTTGTTGTTTAAGATTAAGCAGAAACTCATAAGAGGTTGAAACGTGTAACTCTCATATGTTTGCTTTGTCCGATGCTAGTGATTATTCATTTTCGAAAGTACCATATTTAGAACGAGAAGAAGAGATAACTGACCAATCAGACTTCGTAAATAACGTGACGTAATTTTACTTCAGGTTCCCGCGCCCGCTTAAAAAAAATGGCTGACAAACGGGAGAAAAACTCCCGAAAGCCGAGAAAGCTTTCAAAGGTTGAGACCAGGAATCTCACCGAAACACTGAGCAGGATATTATTGCCTTATACCACCCGGGCCAAACTTAACATTATGAAACCCACTAACGTCCTCGCAACTACTTGAAGTTGTCACTTCAAAAAACGATGCCTCGTTGACCCTGTGAACAGTAAACTATAGGCTTTTAAAATTCTTATACTAAACGTTTTGAATAAACAGTAAAAAATATTTTCGAATAAAATCATTAGCTGCGTATCGAAAAGTGTCCAAAAAATGAACCTGACATCTTTGCAAAAAGTAATGCGTGTAATGAATGTGAGAAGCATTTAAGCTTAAATTCAGCTTGGATGTTAAGGTTGTAGTCACGATCGTGTTTTGAGCTAATTTTATGAATGAGCAAACGTAAAAACTCAAAAGAATAGAGATGTAATCCGTTTCTTGAGAATTTTTATTCAAAGTCCAAAAATTTAATCCTTTAAAGTAGTTCGGAAAACTCTATCTGGATCGTGGATCCGTTCACGCAAGTGAAATCGCAGAAGACAAAAATTTATAAAACGTCTATGAAACATTTAAAAATACATAGATTCCCTTTCAAAAACGTAATTGCCTTGGCCATAGAGTGCAAAATGTACCTGAAAAACTTCACTGCCTTGGTTGCATTTCAAAACAGACCATGCGCTCCGTCGTGAAGAAAACAAGGTTGAATTCCTTGAAGACGATTTCTTGATAAAAAGCTTCCCTTCCTCCACAAAAAGAAAGCGGAGCATTCTTTGGATCTTTGTCTTTCCATTTTTTGTCTTTTAACGGTGTATTTTAAACCTTGAAATGCAGAACTCTTGTCTTAAAACATCTGCGTGGTGATCACGCGGCAGCCATTTTGTTGAAAATGGATATCTGTCACTAAGGTTTCCAAATATGGTAAAAGTGAATATTCACGAGCATTGAACGCGAGTTACACGTTTCAACTCCTTATGAGTTTCTGGATAAAGATTAATGTTATCGAAATGTTTGAACTAAACGAAAGAATGCCAGGGATGCGATCGCGATCCGCTGAATACCAAGCGACAATCCCACCAAAAATTTTTCATAATTAAACATAATTATGCGAATGTTTAGACAATCAACCAATCAAAATCACTACCCGGTTTTCGGGTAGTGAGTGACGTCACTGGACGTTATTAACGCCGGTCGATTCAGACGTTTTTGAGAGGAGAAAACGACTCCAAGCAATCGGATGAATTTCAGGCTAGCCAAAAGGACCTTTGAGGAAAAGATTTGGTGTAACCCCACTAGAACCTATTTCTGTAGTTTTTGACATTCTCGATACCGTGCGCTGTTAATAATGAATATTACTGTCAAAGGTGAGTAAAAAAAACCGCAGGTTCAATGAGCAATAATACAACAATTTTGAACGTGCAGTACACACTTTTTTATACGATTTTTTTTTCTCCCTTAGCTTTCTAAACTTAGGCGCTATTCCTAAGAATTCATCTTCAAGGAAATTCACGTAAATGTGAAATTTTGAGCGTGTTGGAATGAACGCGATTGAAGTTTGAAAATGATAACCGGTTTGTATAGTGACACAGCACAGGCTGTCTATGCAAAATATTATAGCAAATCAAATTTTGAGAGGTAGGGAAAAGGGAAAAAGGGGATGAGGAGGGTTGGGATTCTGACCGAAATTTTCCGTGAGTATCACTCTCCAAATAAGCGAAATTGTCGTTCATTAAAGGCTAGTTTGCGATTGGTTGTTGCGAGGCATAATGTAACAACAAAATAATTTTCTTTTCGTAAACTGTATTGTTTCTTTATTGAATTGGATACATCACAGGCTACTTTTTACTAGATTTATTACACGTCAACTTTTACTCTGAAATAACATAATCTTTTAAACGATTATATTGTCAAGGAATATTTATGTCCTCCAGGTCGATTTCGTGGTCAAATTTGTAAAGGCATTTTCCAGAACCGATATTTTCCACCGAGTACAGGAAACCGCTGTCGTCCACTGCCATCCCGTACATTTCCACTTTCTTCCCCTTGCCCCATTCTCTGATGTAGCGACGCTTTCCATCATAAGTACGTTGGTAGACACCACTTACGCCATTGGCATAAAAGCTTTTCTGAGCAGAATAGAACAGATTGCCTTTGCTATCCATGGCTATTCCTTTCATTATGTTTATCCGCGAACGACCGTCCTTTACATCGTACCAGTCTCTGTTCATCACTTTTATTTTCGCCAGGTCCAACACATTGTATGCACCACTTTTCTCGTCAGAGGGCACCGCCCCTACGTCTGAGTGACTTGAAAGCTCCCTCTCTATCACAAAATATTTCCCATCATTCGAGCAGCCGAAGTAGTATTGCTTGCCTCTGTGATAGTTTCTGCTTCTTTGGAGAGCCCAGTCTAAGCGATCAGTTCTTCCTTGAATTGGATCTGGCTTCCCATTATTATAACCATAAACCAACTTGTCGTATGGCATTTCATAATTCGTGATTGAACCGTATTTATCAGCGTACGCTAGACGTTCTCCGCAAAAGGCAACACCTACTAAATCTGCCTCCCTCCGAGGTTGCCAAGGGTAAAACAGTTGAATGAAGGTAGTGTAATGCTCAAGACTTATTCCACTGGGATCGCTTAGGTCACCTTGTATCTTAAACAGCATGAGTTTGCTTTTCCCTCCAGAGGTGCTGGTTTTGGCGGCTATGGCAAACAGTTTCATTGGGGCGTAGATGGAGATTCCATACGGATGGCAATTTCCGCCACATTCAGATCCAGGTACATCAATAGACTTGACGACTGCCAATGTGTCAGGTTTGACGATCAAGATCTTTTTGGCTTGGGCTGTGTGCTACATAAAGATAGCCAGTCGAGTAGAGTAGAGTGTAGGAGTCTGCGAATTTATTGCAGTCAGTCTGTACCAGCTGAACAGGAACAAGAGCCAGATCTCGTAGGGAAAATACAAAGTCTTGCTGCATTTTTCGATTATCCCGCGAGCCCTCGTCTTTACCTAGTTTGTCACATAGTTCGGTGTATGTAGGATCCTTTAGTTTTGGCCACCATTTGCAGACTTCCTTCATGACCTTTTTAAAAGATGCATTGTCATCCTTGTACTTCAAAGAGGCTGCTAGCACAACTGAGACGTAGCCGTCTTCTTGGTATCGGAAGAGTTTCCTTATAAAAATCCAGGTCAGCTTGGCGGCTTCTGCTGGAGATTTTCCGTTATCGGTCTGAACTTTAAAGTAATGGGTGACAAGACCCTTGTTGACAACCAAGTCTGGGATATGAAAAAGAGCTTTTTCAATGAATTCGTCTTGGCCTTCTCCACCTAAAACCAAATTAATGAATCTCTTTTGTCTTTCCTTAGCTCTCCCAGTAGTGTCTTTGCTCTTTATATCTTCTATTACTTTCTTCCTTTGGTTGGCAACGTACTCGATGTTATTGAAGTACCATTTCCGCTTCGATTCATTCCAGATGTCCTCCACATCTTTCTTGATGGACTTGACATCGTTGTGGATAGCTTCCAACTTTTTCTCTATCTTTTCCAGTCTTGGGGTGATTTCGTCGTTGCTACAAATCGATGAAAAAGTGCAGATAGCCCCCTGGATGGTAGCACCCACGCTCACAATTAGGCCTATCAAGCTCAGGGGATCTATCGCTCTCTTATCCCTTACTTTCACTTCATTTTCACCAGAGGAGGCGTCAGACGTACGTTCCACGTTCTGAACCTTACACCAAGACACGCTCAAAACTAAAAGCATTAACACAAGGGGAACTTTGAGAAGAGCCATTGGATTGCACATATCTGAAATAGAACAACATTTTTATGTTAACTGAAAGGAGACCGACCCAACGGTTTTTGTCCTCGTTTGGGTGGGCAAGCGATAGTGATTATGATTACTATTATACAGTCAACTCACTATCTCTTTTCTGATTGGCCGGAAGCGTACATTGAATTTTTGAATTCAACGCCTGAGACGTCATCAGGATGCAGATTATACAATAATCATGTCAAGAACACTCAAGGTCACGGGTAATCATGTCATGTATGACCGCGGTGCGTGATTTCTAAGGGTAATCACGTCAAGTTCGCGCGCTTTGTGCTTGCCATTAGCGAAGAAGAGAAGCAAAAACTTTGACTTCCAGCTTTGCTTCGTTGACCGAGAAAGACATCAAAAAATAGTTGAAGACAAGGACTCACGAAACACAAAAAAGTCGACGAAGGTGGCAAAGGAGCTGTTTGCTGATTACGAGAAAGAGAGAGAACCTAAGGTATTTTTACACCTTTAGAAATAAATTGTCAGTTCCACTTACTGTCGTGACCATCTTCTGTGCGTTCAATGTATAATAAAACAATTAATTATTAGATTCAGTTTTTGTGATATCCAGAATAATCAAGGTCTCAGTAAGGGTTATCACCCTCAGCCGACCTCGATCTTGATTATACTGGATATCACAAAAACCTTATCCAATACTGTTTTATTATTATTACTCTTACTATTACGATCATTACTATTATTACTGTTAATAATAACAATAATAATAATAATAATAATAATAGTAATATTACTGTTATTATTGAGAATAACATGAATAATGCCTATTCAGTAGTAAATGCAAAGCTTCAAAATACATTGACAAATTCAAAATGGGCTGGGGAATAAAAAGTAAATTTAAAAACGAGCTGCATGAAAAGAAAAACAAAGAGAGAAACTAAACGAAGAAAACGCTTATAATCTAAAAAGTGAAATAGTACAGTCAGTGTAGCTTAAGGGATCATGTATCAAGTGAATTACACTAGTGATGACGTTGGTGTTGACTTGAGCGACGCCTGTCAACCGGAGGTGGACTTTTTTCATTCTTGAGCGGTATTTTTGCCCAAAATTTTGGACAAATCGTCTCTATAATAAGAAAGAGACTCAAAATTAAACACAAATTTGGTATTGTCAAGTCATTTTAAAATGAAAAGGATCTCACTTCCAGTCGACGTGCGTCGCTCAAAAACACCTTTGCCTAAGCTCCCTAAAAGGAACTTAAGCATACCACCGACGCCAGCCGGAAGTATTTTTGCGGGATGACCGCCACTGTGCATGTCAAGCATTTCACGTTCTTGAGCTGTGGTCAGGGACTTCGAAACACGGCTTCTCAGGTTGAAACCAGAGGTTCAAATTCTGGCTTCTTCAAAGAGTATTCGTCATACAAAAGTAAAAATTTTTCTTGTGAAATCAAGTTTTCTTCGTAAGAAAGAAACAAAATCTCTGACAGACAATTTCAAATAAATTATTCTGTCGTTGTTCGTGATGGTTTCACGTTGGTTTTCTTAATGATTTGCTTTTGGCGCGTAAACAGCGTCCCCGATCCAGTTCTGCGCGGCCAGCCATGCCGTTCGTGAATCAAGAACGTCTGGTGGTTATTTAAGTTCCCTAATGGATGCTTTGACCGCAGAAATTATTGTACCAAAAGCTTGTACCTGTGGCTAAGGAAAAGATTAGGCGAAGAATATGGTACAATCGACAACGAGAGGAAACCTTATAGTCACCAGAAGAGATTACACTCTATTCAGGACCATCAAACTACTGGTGGATAACAGGAAAGTTACACCCTTTTTTGGCGCATTTTGGTTGTGATACGGGCGATGCTGTACAGGGGACTACCTTTCTTTATCACATAGTACCGAGGAAAAGAGTAAGAGAGGAAGAAAACTTAGGACCATCAAGAGGAAGAGAATTAACAGTTTTTCACAAGTGCGCCGGCCCTATACCCATACTGGGCAATAAATGGAGAAAAAGATCAGATACGAACGGCAAGAAAGCTTCTAGAAAAGGACAGAGACAATAAAGAGAATGCTCATAACAATTTAAAAGAGGAAGGATTGCTGCCCCATAAATCAAGTCCTTCACAGAGGAAATCTTACGCATTTTGCCAGACGAAGAGGAGCCACAGTCAATGGCAAAAACCTCAGAAAAATAAATCTAAGTACAAATGTACACCCGTGGGACAAAAATAACAAGCAAAGGACATGTTGTGTCTTAGCTAGTTTGACGGGAAAAAGAAAACTAATCCAAAATGATTTAGGGCTTATTTCTTACCTTGCTTACAGAAGACTCTCTTTTGGCTGATTTATTGACAAATTTCTCTTCACAGTGTTTTCCCGATACTAATCCGCGTGATGAATTCCCTTCGAGGATATACGCTGCAATTTTACTTTCTACTGGATGAAATGGGAAAAAGCTTATATTCAATAACAAATGGTGTATATCAAAAGGGCTCCATACAAACCTCTCAGCAGTTCACTGTTATACTCCTCTTTATCAAGATAAAAGTCCTTAGATGAAAGAGCTAGTAGAACTATAAGATTACTTTTCCCTCCTGACAACATGCAATCAGCTTTGACGCTTTGAGCCTCTTTATGGGTATTTCGATCGACGTCGGGACGATCACTTTTGATAAAACGACGATTGACAGTTTTAGCCGAACTTTGAAAGCAGAGAAATTTGCCAGAAAGGTCTGTTGTACGTTCAGAGTTTTTTGTTTTATACCTTTTTGTTTCCGTTGTCGTCGTGCTTGAGCTGACTAGTACCGTTACCACGCAGAACAATTCTTAATATACGACGATTTAATTTCGTTGAAAAACTAACGGTTGACGGAAAACATGCGGCGAAAAAGGACTACCCTAGGTACTCATAGAGAGGGCCAACTTTTCTAAACTCTGTTCAACCAAAGAGAAAAGAACTGGAAACTGTAATATATGATTTGCTATAAAAAAAAGAGATCAGAAACGTCTTACCTTAACAGTGATAATCAGGATGACAGTGTAATCTACAAGTTATGGACTAAATCTTCTAAACTGGGCTAAATGATTTAACACCACTTTGTCCAATCAAATTTCTCCACACATAAACTAACCATTAGGCCTTATAATTAAATATTGATGACCTGGGAAAAAAGATAGATATGTTTTACAAGTTCCAAATAGAGTTTACGACAGGATCATAGAAAACTAAGTTTTCATAAACAACAGCCAAACCTTTTCTAAAAAGAGAACAGAAAAAAAAAACAAAAACAAACAAACAAACAAACAAAATAAAAGGAATGTCTTGACTTAGATTTTTGACCTTTGCGATAAGCTCATATGATCTTTCCAGTTGAACTTATGTGCTAAATGCCGCGCGGGTCAACAAGATACCATCAAAAGAACTAGAAAAAGTCGGTGGCACTCAGTGGGTGGTACCTTTTTTCTCTTGTCCGTTGACAACGTAAAGAATGGCCGATGAGCCACGAAAGATAAGACAGTAAAACTTGGGTGAAAATGGTGAATAAGTTTTGTTATACAATGTTACAAATAACAATACGGCCATGGGTTATCGTAGTTTTACATCTAGTATCATGATCAGTTATATATTATCTAGTGGTCCCGGAGAGTTTCCAATACTTTTAGAATTGAATGATATAACTACTGAAAAGAAAGTCGACTGAGAGAACTCTTAGCTTTTGAGGGATCCTGTTGTTTTTCTACCCAACGCAACGAATCATATTCTGTTTTCTCTTATTTACTGAAGAAGAAGTTGGCCTGGCTTGTACAGTTGGATGAACAGGTTATAAAAATTCGTTCTATACCCTTCAATAACTGCAAATAGGCCATTTGCACTAAGAGGCCATGTGACATCGTTTTTATGAGAATTTTTTTTATGAAAGTTATAAGATTTTGCCTTCGAAAAACGATTAGAGGGTCATATCTTAAACAAAAATAACAGTGATTTGGTTTCTCAAACCCGCACTCTTTTCTTAAAATGAGAAAGTTCGTAGCTGGTCACTTGACCAAAATGTGATTTTTAAAATTATGAATTACCTCTTTCTGAACACAAATTTTGCACTTAAACTTCAAGGAAAATGTTGAAAAGGTGATGTGGTAACGTTTACAGCACATCTGAGCGTAACTGTCAAACGTTTAACAAGATATAAGCAAAAAGTAGTTTCGGCCGCCATGTTGGAGGGCAAGAGTATGCCCTCCAAAATGGCGGCCAATACAAATCATACTACTTTGTTGAAAAGTCGAAGTGCCATAAAATATCTCCCTAAAGTGCGTTTCCTCTCAAATTTCAGGTGTAAAATAATTTTTACGTGCTCTGTCAATTTTTGGCATCAGCAAGATTCCAACTCATTGTTTAAAGGAAGCATTGGTCACGTGACCTCTTAGTGCAAGTGGCCTATTCTTGTTGAAACAATAAAACCATGGATAGAACAATCAAATGTTAAACCTTTGAAGTCAAACTGGTAAACTAATACACTTGCAAATGATAGGTTTAGGTTTGTTACCAGCAGCACTCGCTCTTGCCTGAACGCGATGGCCGATGTCAACGTAATACTGTCGACACCCAGGCAGGAGAATAGTTGAAGGCACAGTTTTGCTGTGTCCTCAGACTATTCAGATTCCTTAGCTTGCGGGAAAACAACGCAAGCTAATATTTTACATCCGGATCAGAAGGCCGCGAAGTGTACGACGTGCAAATTGCTTTATGGAAAGTTTTAGCTCTTAATAGCAAGAGGATGACCAGAAAACCGCTCGACTAGCTTCAAAAGGCGTTTTTCGGCAAAAAATTCCAGAGGCGAATGGGTTAAGGTCTTAATAAGTCATTTACAAAACAAACAAGTAGGCAAGCAAACAAACAAACAAAAAACGCATGACGGTGGTTCTGGTAGTATTCATGAACTTGAACGGTTTAACAGTAGGGAATCACACCGAACCTGTTCGTTGCGGTTGAATAATGAAAGAAAGAAGAAAAAATTGCCCAACTTGATGATTCGTGAGCTAGTAAAAGTAATCAAATACGACAAAGTAATCTTAAAGATTTTTTCCCTCCAAAAAAACATAAAAATTCTATATATACAAACAAACATTCTAAATATGCTTAAGAAATAACACCTTAAAGTTATTGCTCAGACGATTGAAAAGTTAATATAAAGATCAAAAAGCTGATTTCTGCGGGTAAACAGTATACACCATAAAGCAAACCACGATTAACAAGGTCTCCATTTTAACATGACCAAAAGAGCACACGTAGAATTGAGTAAAAGAAAACAATTATTGATCCACACTGTAAAAAGTCACAACAAAAATAATAACGTTCAGTAAAACTTGGAGAGTAATTTTCTTCAATTAGAATATACTAGATGTGACATAATATAACAAACGGGAATCATCTATTTGTTACGTTACGATGTTGTATCAAAGGTATTTCCTTCACCAGTTTGTAGCTTACAGGAAAAAACCGACGAACCTCATGTATTGAAAAGTACCTTGATGTAGCTACTCTTATTACTACGGAATGCTTAACAAGAAAATTAAATTTTCGTTACTTATTATGCATTTAAAATAATTCGCCGTTTTTGATTGGCTAACAATCCCCCAGCTAATTCGTCACGGCGCTTACCATATTTGGAAGATAAAGGCAATTTATATACCATCGTTTCGATTGGTTGTTGCCCAATATAAAATTACAACCTTGTTTCCTGCCAGCGGCGCGGCAGCCTAGCTGTTCACGAATATCCGAAGACAAAATAGTTGAATTACTGTCTAAAACAAAACGGAACAAACGCAAGAACACGCCAAAAGTATTTCGGGATGATACAAATGACATGTAGTTTTTAAGGAGTATATCCGCAAGGGGGAAAAAACAAAAACAAAAACAAAAACAAAATTATATGTTCAATTACATAACTGTGCCGAGAAACTGGCCGACGTTTACAAGGAGGTAACGCTGTTACGAACGTAGAAATATTTTGAATGAATAATAAAACAATTATTGAATTCGGCTTTAACTGAAGAATTATCAGTTATCTAGCTCGGCCACACCCTCATTGATCTGCATATTTTTTTCAACATGCTGAGCCTCATTCAAAAATTGTTAGAGATCAACTTGGGCCCTGGGGTTTATTCCCCAGTCTTTAAAGGCCCTTTTCTTGCAGATATCCACTTTGAGACCATCTTTGTGAATTCTTCCTTCTGACAGCGCCATGCAAATTTGGCAATAGAGCGGGTATTTTGGCATCCAGCATTTTCCAATGTTAGTTCCTTCAATGTCACCGAATCCTTTCCTTTTCCATTCAAGGTATTTGCTGTACTCATCCTTGTTACTGCTTAGGTACGTAATGTAGTCAGCCAAAAGTTTGGGGTTTTCGAAGTCACGGACATTAATGATGGAGCTTCGAAGATTTCCAGGAAGAAACTGGTCAAGTTTGTCTGTACCCATCACAACAGGGACTGAACCAGCGCTGAGGGCATGAGTGAGCTGATTATCCACAAAATAATCACAGTCTTGGTTAAAGAACACCAATGTAAATTTGTACTTTCTAGCCAATTCAGTTTTGCGTTGCTTAAAATCTTTGCCATATCTTGCCACGAGACCTCGTTTGTTTTTAAGACAGTCTCCATAAGAATCGATTGGGATAAACTTCATCAGTTGCTTCATGTACTCAGTTCGCACGGGTTCACAGTTTGAGAATGCGGCAAAGACCATTGCCGTCTTTTCTTCGAAGGCAATAGGTGGGGTTAAATCAGGCATGAAAAAGGACGGATCCGGAAAGTCCGAATCTAAACGGTAACTTCTCAGCAACTTGAACTTAGACATGAAGTTGGCGTCTGTCAGAGCGGGAGTGTAAACTGGATTTTCTCGTGTGAACAAGATCCAAGGCACTGAATCTACCGGAGGAGTCATATGCGAATCTCTTGCGTGAACAACAAAGCCATCTGCCTCCTCTACTCTGGAATGATCGCTAGTTACCTCGCAGGCAACTGGACATTCCCCCTTTTTCCACGCAAGATGCAAGTCCAGAGAAGAGAAGGGAGGACACAACAACCCATAAAACTACAAAATACAGTGTATAACGGTCAAGTACAGGTTGACTGCAATATAACCGATGTACAAGTTTTTTTTGTGTGTGTGTGTGTAGAAAGCAACGGTTGTTGTGGTGTGGGTATTGTTGAGTGTCTTTTAATCTTTCCCAAATTGCACCCGTCCGAAACTTTACCGTTGAAAATTGACTGTAGTTCTAATTAATTAAATAATTGTTAGGTTACAGGTTTTGTCACATAAATCTCTATACAATGTATTTTGACCGCGTCGCAAGAAACATTTTGGGCTACCTGTGGCGCTTATCCTTTGTCGTGCCAGACGTTCTATAAATTTTCTCGTGCAAATTTATGTACCGAAGAGTTATGATTGCGACTTATTTGAGTATGAACGACAGAAGGAACTTTAGTAAGAAGAAAACTGAAGGGAAATACTTCCAAACACTACAAAGAGGAGGAATGAAAAGTTTAGCTAGGATTTTGACCGGTGGGGGCAAAAGGACTGAGTTTGCGGAATGGCATGTGGCATGGCTTGGGGAATGACATAATTATGCTGAATTTAACATATGAAAATAACGCAAAGAAATGAATTAAACATTAGTAACTACCAATTTCAACATGGCAAATTGAATTTTGCACCCCAGCTGTAACAGCTAGTCTGAAATGTCATACGTCTCCACCTCCTAACCCGTGGGAAGCGCGACAAATAAGGGCGAGTAGAATCTTTGTGGCTGTGCGAAAAAGGCTAATCGAGAGTGAGAAATCAAAGAATCCTTCGTGGCTTTTTGGTTGTCATCAACATTACAAAAGTCGCTGCTTTTGGAAAATTGGTTGGCGCCAAAAAAGGGTGCACTTTTCAGTCTAATTTATTTCTTTTAGGCAATCTGCATATATTACATTCTGCATAATTATGTCATTCCGCAAGCCATGCCACATGCCATTCCACAAACACATTCCTCCTTTCACCCTCACCGGAGTTCGACATAACCAAAAAGCGGTGATTAAGGTGATGTTTATACCGATCGAATTTCTATCGAGACTGAACAGTATGAATTCGAAGTTAAAAAAAAAAAAATAATAATAATAGAAAACATACCTATCCCGCCATCCCATATTAATTGAGCTTTTTCTTTTTTCAGGTTAACGTTGGTTCACGAAAAACTGTAACTATATTCTAAAACGGCATATGAAATTGTAAAGAGAACAATTTTCACCAACGGCATGTTTTGGTCTACTTTTGTGTCAACACTATAGCCCCATCAGATAGACAGCTTAAGCATTAACAAATATATTTTTGTTTACTTGCTGTTTATTGCACTGGACTGTCGTTTAGAGGTTACGTTAACTAAAACCGTTTTAAAGATAGACAATCTTATTAGACCTTGAGTAATGTAAACGTTAAGAATACGAGAGGAGCAATCCTCTACAACAGTACCTTTCTCTGTTTCGTTTAGACTATGCTCTGTCGCCTTCTGAACCACTGCTTGGGACAACGGCGTCAAAACTGGAATTAAAAAATTGCTAAATTGATGATTACATCGAAGGGAATCGAATTCAAAGCTGACGGTAGTCAACAGAGGCAATGTGTCTACGATGTGAAACACTCTTCGAGTCTGTGTACGGCACACGCTCAAGCTGTGCAACAACAAAGACGTTATTGTGCTAATACATATGGCGTTCCATTTCCGCCAAAATTCAATGTTACATTTTACATTGTACGTTGCATAATCTATACTACATTTTGTGTTTTTCATTTGAGTTTGCACTCGCGATTCAACTTTTTTGCATCCAACAGTCAACTTTGATTTATGCAACATTCAAGTTTTCGCTTTCGACATTCAACTTTTCATAAGTAGTAGTCAAGTTTGCGAATTCGACCTTCAAGATCAGTGGGATGTAGATTCACTTTTTCGCATCCAACATTTAGCATTTGTCCTTTAAGTTTTCGCTTCCCACATCCGACTTTGGGCATTGTACTTGCAAGTTTTCGTATTCGACATTCAACTTTTCGAATTGAACTTTTACCCGCTGGTCTGCGACCGATGGAGATCGTGGGCTCAATTGACCTAACCCACCCCCGCTCAAATGGTGGTCGAGAGTCGGTCGAGAGACTTTCCAGTGGAGTGGACTCGGGAGACCTTCTCCACCGTGTGATAAAAGCCGCCGATCGCCAAGATACTGTTGCACCTGCTAATTAAAATGAGGTGAGAGCCACTCTTTTGAGGGTGGCGGACTGTCTGTCTCCTTTGGAGGAAACACCATCTTCAGGTAAGTGTCGGGCAACCCTTGTCAAGTATGAAGAAGTTATGTGTTCAATAAAGTTCGTGTTCGCGCCGACACAAGCATATATGTACGGATAATGGCTCAGTCAATTCCAAGCGTGCCCATCACTTCTGACTCCGACTCCATCACTTCCCTACCTAGACTACGAGTAGTCCCTATTTTTCCACAGGGATAGTAGAGTGAGCGAAATGCGAGCGGATGAAAATCACCCCACGCTAGAAAAGCTGTTTTCCAATCTCGACCCAGAGCTCCTCTGCGCATGTTGAGGAGGGAGATTACGCGCGCATTCCCAAACCCGTAAGCATTAGGGTCGAGAATGGCGTGGGGTGATTTTCACGAGCACTCGCATTTCGCCCGCTCTACTATCCCTGAGGAAAAATGGGGACTTCTCGTAGTCCGTTCCCTACCCCACAGTATATTTTGCATCTATTCCGCCATCGTTTGCATATGGGTAAAAAACAATCAATGTATCGTTTAAAGAGTTTAAAGGAAAGGCACGTCCTTTGTCCCGTGAATGTTTGAGGCTGAAATGCCAAGAAAAACTCTGTGATATATACAAAAGTTAATATAAACTTTGTGTATTGTACGATCAATGCGACAATACCCTGACAAAACGGTTCCATCATGATGAGAAAATACTGATCTTAATAAGCTCGTGGGTTGTTTGTTTATCATTTACTATATGAAACATCTTCGAAACTAATAGAAGTCTTGTTAAAATTCTAGTTCATAGTTTTGTCTTTGATAATTAAAGTCCGATCAGTCAGTAATCGGCTCCTGGATCAGTGTGATATTTTTTGCAATAAATATAATTATAACCAGCTGCTAGGAGCGATTTGCGTAGGGTGCTTCACGCGCGAGTTTGATTAGATTATTACAGATTTCCCATTAATTTGCATTGGTTTTTGCAGTTTATTTACTGGAAAATGAAATTTTGGTGTTGTCTCGGGGTGGGGCATTTGCACCCTATTTTAAGGCCCCACCGTGGGATTTTCATGAACGCCCGGCCCCATTGTGGGGCATTTGCAGCTTTTCCCAAAAAAAGACAAATGCTGGGGAGAGGATGGGCACGCTTGGAATTGAGTGAGCCATAAATAGCGCCAGGTTGATTTTGATCACTTCACGCGTGCTGTTTTTGAGAAGGAATGAATTTTGATTTGTTGCCCACTGCTGCAATCAAAAATCGGTCTGTACAAAACCCCACAGGCGGCTCAAGCTCTATCCTCCCATGCAGATGTTAAGGGAATATTAAGGGGCAGTTCGTCACATTCGTCAAGCATTCCTCCCGAATCCCCCTTAGGACGTCTGCGTGGGAGGCTACCTAAGCTCTCGCCATATAAGTGATTTCAGAAAAGAATATCCAGCACTGAAAAAAAAAATCTTTTGTGGCATGTAATGCTGCAGAAAGACATGTTACACCGTTATATCCCAGGGAAATATATATATTCTATCTCTACAGGTTTGGGGAAAAAAATTTACTTTGAGTAAATCACCCATACCTCCCCTCAAAAGTCAATTGGTCGACCCCTAATCATTAAAATTGCACAATGCTTAATTTGTATGGGAATTCAGCTTAAAGATTTAAGAGATTTTTCATGAAATACACCTTTCGACTAAAGAAGACAGTCGGTTGGACAGCACTCACCTCCCTCGAAGACTGTGCAGCAGCATCCAGGCGATGAGCGATGTTCTATCTATCGTCGACGTCTGGTTTGTCGGGAGTGGAGAAGGTCTCCCGAGTCCACTCCACTGGAAAGTCTCTTGACAGACTCTCGACCACCATTTGAGCGGGGGTGGGTTAGATCAATTGAGCCCACGATCTCCATTGGTCGCAGACCAGCGGGTAAAAGTTCAATTCGAAAAGTTGAATGTCGAATACGGAAACTTGCAAGTACAATGCCCAAAGTCGGATGTGGGAAGCGAAAACTTAAAGGACAAATGCTAAATGTTGGATGCGAAAAAGTGAATCTACATCCCACTGATCTTGAAGGTCGAATTCGCAAACTTGACTACTGCTTATGAAAAGTTGAATGTCGAAAGCGAAAACTTGAATGTTGCATAAACCAAAGTTGAATGTTGGATGCAAAAAAGTTGAATCGCGAGTGCAAACTCAAATGAAAAACACAAAATGTAGTATAGATTATGCAAAGTATAATGAAAAATGTAACATTGAATTTTGGCGGAAATGGAACGCCATAAATACATGTCGGTACGGAAGGCAGTCACGCAATGCTTCAGTAACTTGGACTTCCGGTCCCTGTACACCCTACTGTCAGGCCAATGTCGTCAAAAATGGCACAGGACTCTTTCAAAGCACGGGTTTATATTAGGTACACTATATTAAGCTAGACATTTGCCAGTAAAAATATGTGGAAAACCACGTATATTTTAGGCATTTATTAAAGTCATCAAACTGAGTTTGTCCCAGCCTTGATTTCTTCCGCTCTCGCTCTCGAGTTGCAGGCTCCGTTTCCCCGAACTGCGGCTGGTAATTAAGCTTTGCGCTCCTGAGGCGCCGACCACTTGACTTGGTGGGTTGAAGGGGATTTGATTTGGTTTGGGTAAGACTTTTTCCCTGAAACCGTCTGTGGAGGTAGAATTTTTCCCCAGACATATAATGGTGTAGCATATTTTTTTCGCAGCATTATAGGCCGTAAGATATATACTTTTTTCAGTGCAGGAATTTTTTCCCCACGACATCAGTCCGAGTTTTTTTTTTTTCTGAAATCACCCATACCCCGCCCCTCCGGTGAGAATTTTTATAGGGGGCTTACTGCCTTGGTTGGTCCGTATCGTCAAGACCCTGAGCTAACTTTCAATGGGGACTAGCCTAAGTCTCTCTGGAGAATCAGTTCAGTGATCATGTATTTGGTTTAAGTTTGTCATGCGAAATTCAGCCTTACAAATGTTATGGGGGGGGGGGTGATGTGGCCTTGAATTCTCTGCTTGGGGTAGCTTAAGTCTCAAGTTGCCTCGGTCATATAGGGCCTTAAAGTAGTCAGAGATGACCAAGTTGAGAGTGTCTTTTTGATAGACCACTGTCAAGTCACGTTCAGCTGTGTGGCCTAGACTTGCCAGCTGGGGCATTTATCATAAATTCGGCCAGATTTATTTATTTATGTTTAAATCACATCATTAGTTAGAACGACTATTTTCTAGGAACATTTCATTTGTAGCTTAATCAAAAATAAAACACAAACAACGGTGATAAACATTGTGAGCTTTTGCAATTTCTTATCGAAGTTTCTTATGCTAGTCAGAAGGAAAATAGGTTGGCATTATTACGGGCAAAGAATAAACGCAATCAGCCCTCTTGTCCCTCTCTGGAATATGTTGATGCAAGCTATTGGTTTTGTTTTCTTTTGTTTTTAATTTCACCCAATAAAAGGCCCCGTCCACACATGGCCGTTTTTGTTTGAAAACAGAGATTTTTTCTTTCCTCCCGTTTCAGGGGGCACCCAACGTCAATTTTCGGAAAATATCTGTTCGAAAGATGATTTGAGATAGGATTTTCCAACATCTAAAAAACGGTATAATTGGGAGCCTTTTTTCTGGCTGAAATTTTCGAAAAGGTAAGTTTTGATCCCTATAATTTTTGGATGACTGGACTTTCAGCTAGGAGATCTGAACAGATGAAAAATTTTTAGGGGATAAAAATATGCCAAGATCTACCGTTTAAATGCTAAAAGACGTTGAATAATGCTATGTTTAAGAAGTTTCGTTGGGTGCCCCTGTGGTTTGGTCTACCTCCCACTCGTTTCCGGTAAAAACGGTCGCATCTTTTCAAAAACGCTATCCAGAGTGAAGATTTTTGAAACGCCGTTTTTCTGTACTCGAGTGGTCGGAGGAAAACGGAGGTTTTTGAAAACGATTACGACACGAGCGCAGATACCAGAAAATGTGCATGATAGTACCGTTTTTAATGAATAAGTGCGCAATTTTCGTGTGGACGGGCAAAAAAGCTTCAAAACCACAACGTTTGGGCTCGGAATTTTTTTTTTTTATCAAAACAGAGAATCAACTTTAACCATTAGAATATCTAAACAACTGGGATAGAACAAAGTAAACGCAACTGTTTAATCACAAATGAAGTGGTCAGAACCCTTAAATAAGTTTTATACATCGAGTTGGGCGAGTTCGTCGAGAACGTTGGGACGAGAAAAAAAAGAGCAATTGAGGGGAAGAGGAGGGAGAGAAGGAAACCTCGTCTCCCCTCCTCCCCTTTCATTTTTAGCTTGCCACGTAGGTTAGTAATAGTGGGAATCTAATATTTCCGTTGTTTCGATGTAACGTCTCCAAAGATTTCCATTCAAGTTGACATATTGATTTACCCTCTCTATTCATTAATCTCTAACGCAAATGGCAAACGCCGAACTTTTCATGAGACGAATCAAACTAATTAAGGACGACCTAAAAGTCTTTAAAGATTGTCTGTAGAGTCAGAAGTCGAACTTAGGACGCGTCGAACCAATCAACTGTATCAGACCAAAAGCCAGGTTTAGCTCAATTTTAATACATTGTCTCCCAAACAAGGCTAAATATGCATTATCATACAAACTTTTAATCTATTAGTTTAGTTCGTCGCATGCGAAGATTGACGTTTACCCTGGAAACGATCTTCAGGCGTTTTGTCATGTTCTGTCCACATGAACAGACGAATAGACCGTGTTGGATGATCCAAACTCATTCAGAAAGAACTGAGCCAGCCGTCCAACTTTTCATGACCTTAAATCACTAGGTTTGCAGGCGCGGATCTAGTATAAATACTGACCGATTTCGTATTTCTACGAAGGTCTGGGGTCATGCTCCCCCGGAAAAATGTTTTTGATTTAAACTCCCTAAAGTCCCCTTTCCTGAGTTTCTGAGTCATTCAGACAGGATATTTACTGACTGTCCAAGCCATTTTCCAGATTTCAACTTGGAAAGCTTAATAAAGTTTTTCTTTTTTTTCAATAAAAATGTATTTATTATAAAAAAATTTGACAGATTTCCGTAAAACGGTGGAAACTAGTATGGATCCGCGCCTAGTTTGGTTCGTCTAATGAATTTTTACGACGTTTGGCCTTAGGCCTAACATTAACAACAACTACCATCTTAGAACGAGCGACTGATGGGGAAAAAAAGGGAAAGGTAACGTGGGTATCCCTAGGAGAAAAGCTGAAAAAGCCGGGAGTTAATTTTGGAAGATTCATGGCTTTTACATGACAGGGAGTTCAGCTCTAACATGATTTTCTAGAACAAAATGGCCACCGTTGTATTGTTTTGGAACATCAATAAGGCTGCCGTGACGTCATGTGCAAATGCTCGATGAATCTACCCTCTGTTACCCTGCAAGTCTTTCTGATATATTACATTGGAACTTTTCGTATAAAAAGTAATGTTAAAACTTCCTTTGGCATGGTTTAAAAAGTAAGTTCCGCTTAAGGCACAACTTACAATGTATATTAAAATTATATATAAAATGGTTTTACTTTTCATTTGTAAGCTATTGGGTAGATTAAGAATCTACCACGTCAAGTGTCGTTCTCGCTGCCGTGCAAGAAGTAGTGGTGAGTTAGGGATTTAAAGCAACCACCACCTGACGTCGACCAAAACGGGGACGCCAAAAAAGCAACAAGTTTAATAACCAAAACAACAACTCTACACGTGCATCAAGCATTTTTGTACATTTCTTTACCGTCACCGCACGACAACAACGTGAAACTTCTTTTCAATGTGACGAATTATATAGGACGTAAAAACTCAACGACCAATTTTTCTTTCTTTTATTGATTTTTTATGTCCTCCCTACAAATTCAACTCAAGCAAAACCTTACCACTATAAATTTTAAATGAACACGAACGTATTTTATGAATGACATCCCCATTGCTATTGCCGTCCTGGTTGCTTAAACTCCCTATTTTCTCCTAAATGCTACGGCTCAACAATTATTCAATAATTTAGTTATTTTTTCTAGGTCTGTGGACCCTCCAAAATAAATACAATGCGAATATAACAGACCACGTCTTTGCAGGACTCAGTAGAAAAGCTAGCGTTCCGTAAGCCCGTAGCACATTAACATAAGACGACGATGCTTGCCAAAGCACCAGGCAAAGGAATACGATATGGGCTAGGCTCTTCTTGAGGAAACTCATAATGTTACCGAGAGAGGAATGAGAATGACTTTTCGAAGAAGTTTTGATGTAAACGGGTCGAATATTTATCTCCAAAAAATAGGCAAGGTATAGCGTCAAGGGCAAATGGAACATAACCAGCTGAAATAAGTGAAAAAGAAAACGTGTTAACAAAAGAAAAGAACGATTTTCTACAGAATTTACCTGTCCACGTCTGTCTACTTTTCAGAATCAGGGCTCGTACCCATTTTTAAAAACAACTTTCCCGGGGCCTTTTTCACTGAAATTTTGATAATTAATTAGCTGTTTAGTTGATGTTTGCATTCGAGATATCGAGGTTTAAAGAGTTCTGTCGATAATGTGCACATGACTTCATTCTCAGCGAAACAAAATGGATTGGTTTGCGCTTTGTACCTTTAGATTTTGATTTGAATATTCATTTTGGGCATGAAAAGTTACTGGGACTTTTGAGAAACGGGCCCCAGCACCTAACCAAAGTGTTTTAGACAATACACCGTACAAAATGGAACCTGGAGACAACAGTGAATACAATGCTTGATTTTGTAAAAACAAACAGATAAAACAATAGCCTGCGTAGAAAGCGTTTCCAATCGAGTTATTGCGCGAAAGTTAGAGCGGAAGCAAAAAAAAAAGGTTGAATGGGGAGGGGGAGGGAAGAAGTGGAGGAGGAGGAGAGAGGGAGGTTCCTTCTTTCCCCTCCCCCTCCCCTGTCATTCATTTTCTTTTTTTTTTTTGCTCTTGTCCCAGCTTCCTAGACGAACCTCGCGAGGAAACGCTTGTTACGCAGGCTAATAAAACAAACAAAGCAAAATAAACAAAAACGAAGTGTATAGAAATTTTCCTGACTTTCGATGAGTTACAAACATCGTTTGGGAATCTGCAGCCTTGGAAAGTGTCAGGAGACAATTCCAGGACTTTTCAGAATTTCCAAAGCCCATACAAACCCCGTGTTTAAAGAAAAATTAGTTCAAATAACCACACCTGCACGATACCGTAGTAATATGATAAAGAGCCTGGAATCCAGTGTCCTTTGACATACATTCCATGTACAAACAGAGCGCCAAGGTGACCGCGAGTCATTTCACCAACAAACCAGGGACCTGAGAGGACAAAGGTAAACGAACCTCTTAATCCTTTTACAAAACATAGAAGCCAATGAAAGCACTAAGTTAACTACTACTACTACTACTACTACTACTACTACTACTACTACTACTGCTACTACTGCTACTGCTACTGCTACTGCTACTGCTACTGCTGCTGCTGCTGCTGCTGCTGCTGCTGCTGCTGCTGCTGCTGCTGCTGCTGCTGCTGCTGCTGCTGCTGCTGCTGCTGCTGCTGCTGCTGCTGCTGCTGCTGCTGCTGCTGCTGCTGCTGCTGCTGCTGCTGCTGCTGCTGCTGCTGCTGCTGCTGCTGCTGCTGCTACTGCTACTGCTACTGCTACTGCTGCTACTGCTACTGCTACTGCTACTGCTACTGCTACTGCTACTACTGCTACTACTGCTACTACTGCTACTACTGCTACTACTGCTACTACTGCTACTACTGCTAACAATAATAATAATAGTAATAAATTTGAACAGAAGTGAATTATTCATTAATCAAGTAAATCACACTTCCAATCTACACCTCAACAACAAAACTACCCTTAAGTAATTAAAATGTTTTAAGTACAGTCTATTCCAATAATATATTCAGACGTTTTAAAATGTTTAAAAAGGATGTCTTTCTCTGTGTAAAACACGTACATTTAAAGTACGTGTTATCAAAGGCGCAAATTAACAACACTGACCATCATATTCTCAACACTGTCACGCACCAAGATTAGGTAAACCGTATATACAAACCGTTAAAGAAATATAGATAATGCTATGATCTCGACTGCCAGGGACCAACTCGTTGGGTATTTTTGAGCATTGGGAAAGAGTTTTACCCTGGTCTAGCTAAACACAACGACGTGAACCCCCAAACCCTAAATAACATTCTGGCGCCCTATCGGTTCGACCAGGCTATCTCCGCCAACATCGATGCTGAATGCAGCTATTCAATGTTTTAGCAAGTTATTGGTCATTCTACTCTATCGCAAAAACATTCAAAAGAGTTCGCTAGTGAGAAACTAAATTCAAAACGGGTTAAAGGACTTAAAACTCGAGTATCTTGCCAGACATACCAAACAGATGATCCTGAGATGAAACTTACAGTAAGTCACGCCTTTATGCAAATTGATGCAAACTTTGATCAAAATAAAATCATTTCTAATCTTCTTAAGTATCCCTCATCTGCGCTCGTTTCTATTTTCGAGTTGTCTTGTGTTCTACTACAGTATGAAGTAGCTTTGTTCTTGATTCTTTAGTCAATTCTGTGATCGTTTGGTAAGTGCTAAAATTACCACGATAGCATGATCGCAAAATACAACTTCGTTCCTGGTTTTCTAATTCAAAGGTAAAAATTTGTTTTAGTTCTGCAGATGCAATCAAGGCAAAGAGGGTTAACTAACAAAGACATAGAGAGAAAGCAATATTTGCCACCATTTCGAAATAACAAGCATGCATGCACCACTTTAAAACGAGACGGGGACTGGAGCCACCGTTGCAGTGTTAAGGGCATCTCCGCGTTTTGGGCATCCCCATTCCCCAAACTCTAGTGATATGGGCATTCCCTTCTCGTATTACCTTAGCGATTTGGGTTAGGGTTAGGTTTAGGGTTACAGGGGATGCCCATATCACTAGGGTTTTGGGAATGGGGATGCCAATATCACTGTGACACCGCCCTGTGTTCCGCAAATGTCTCTAGGATCGTTATTGGGGACGCTCTGGTCAGATATTGGCCATTTTTTACTGGCTTCAGCAGTAACAGTCCCAGAAAGTTTTGCGCAAGTTAGTTCGGCCCAGTCTCCTCTCGTTTCTTAAGTGGCAAATAGCAACCTGTTTTCTTACCGATGCCAGTATAAACGCCGAACAAGAACAATGGATAGAAAAGATCATCCGCATGAGCAAGAAAGAGCAGTCGATTCCACCACCTGCCCAAAGCGCCACAGAGAAATCCTGATAAGACAAAATTAAAAAAGAGGATTTAAGGTGTGGCTCGATGGTTTTTTTTTCAGGGTCAATACCTCCCGTGTTTGAGCATAAAGTGCGTTGCCATCAACAAAGATTTGGAAAAATGACCGCCACAGCTGGATTAGATAAATATAAAAAATTGTTATGAACAAGGTTACAATGACATCAGAGCTGTCACAGTAACGAAATGGCGTCATCATCTATTTTACTTGCAGCCGTATTTCTCGGCATTGGAACTTTTTTTCCAACATCGTTCACAGGAGCTTTTTCCTCCAATTGCCGCCTCCGATGTTCGCGAAGTTTGAGCGAAATATGTGGGAGCGTTACCGAGATATTCTGGAATTGAAGTCACTTTTTTCTGGTTTGAAATACAGTGAAACTGGACAATCTTGATCTTCGACCGTTATCTTTACAAACGGGAGAATGTGGTTTGCGAAGATGTAAGACCTTTCATAATTAAAAATAAAAACAAACAAACAAACAAACACACAAACAAATGCGTAAAATACCTTTACAAGTAGAGGAATCACATTGTCTCAGGAAAGCCAGTCCAAGCACGATAATAAAGAAGAAAACGGAGAAAAGAACGCGGCCCTGCAATAAAAGAGTAACAATTTCACTCTAAAATCTTTCCTTTTCACTCCTGACCAATTACAGTTACCACTGACTGAAGAAATTTACTTCATTTTGAGCATCTAAAAAGAACCTTTAAATCAACGATTCTGATTGCAAGAAGAAATGGAAGAAGAGCACTTGACATGATATTCTTTGTTTGTTTGTTTTTTGGTAACGACCACAGTTCACCATATTGTCCCTGTTATCAACGGTCGTTTGAAGAAAACTTCCTTTGCCCGCGTGTAAGCCAAACTGGGGACAAAACCGAAACAAAGGGAAATACGACAACAACAACAACAACAACATGAACCTTTAAACGACTTCGACATGTTTCATACGTTTGATTTTTCTAGAGACAGGGGCCAAATAAATCAGCGAATTACATTAAGCGCCAGTTTAGATTTGATTCATCTGAAGTTTCGCAGGTGAGCAGAGAAAGAAATATGTATAAGGGAAAAACTAAACAACGGAAAAAACAAAACAAAACAAAAAGAAACAAAACAAAACAAAAAACAAAACAAAAAACAAAACAAAACAACAAAATAACAACAACAAAACAAAACAAAAACAAAAAATACACTGACGCAGTTTTTCCGTATGAACTAAGGTAAACTGCCGTCGTAAGGAATTGCGAGGTTTTTAATCGCAAGACAGTCCTTTGAACCAGTTTCGATTGTATCGCATCAACGGTCATAGCCGCAAAGATTGTATGAGAAAGGTTATTTGATGATACTCTAGTCAGTGGATGATTCCTACCAGCATAGTAAAATCCGTCAACATAAGAAAGGCTGGGATGAGATCCAGTGCCGGTCGGGACCCGTCCAATGAAAACAACTGAGTACGCGATGTGGTACGACCAGCAGAATCCTGTGCCAAAAAAATACACTTCATGTAAATATAACTTTACAGTGGTGGAGTATCGAGAAATCTCTCACGCTAGGGAAAACTGGCGACACATAAAGATGACTGAGATAAATCTGGCCAACTCAAAAAGCGCGCTAGGCCTTAAAACTTCGCCTCTGGAGTGTGTGGTTGGTCAAAATGGTACAAACTATGGTTAAGAATAACCATTTCCCCGCACCTTTTTCCCCGGACATTCCTGTAGGACACTACATTTGCGGGTTACATGTGGGCAAAAACGTTTTTGTTACCAAGTCACTTATAGCGTCAAACTCATACTTTCATCCTGCTTCCTAGATTAGGGCTTTCAAAAAAATCTGTAGTCATTAGGAATCATGCCCTGATGCTGTTTGCAGTCCCCATTTTCCGGTATCGGTAAGATCGACTGAGCTAATACTACAGAAAACCATGCAAACCCCGTTCCTATGTAGATTTGATACTCTACTTCTCTCCCAGCTGAAGCAAGTACACTAAATACAATTGGAACCAAGATGTCCGCTAATCATAGTAAGAACTCGATCTAGACGATCTAACGACAAAATAGGGCAATGTCAACAGTCACAGAGCGCGGGTGGGCGGGGGGCGGGGAGCATTATTCCAGAGGAGTATTCAGGCAGTGAGTCAAAGTTTTTTCTCGTGATTGGAAAAATCGAGGATAGTAATGTACCTGAACTTTGACCGTCATAGAGTGAATTCCTGAGGAGTACTTATCTGGGTCCCATTGGCAGGCAAACAGTGGTCCTTGTACCTGGGTAGCGGGTAATTCAAGAGGAGAGCCATCAATCTCAACAAACGTAGATTCGATAGGAGACGGAGAGAAAGCCAGAAACCTGTGACAAGTAAAAAATTCAGTCCAAGAAAATAAAGTGATCGTTAGAGCACTGGAAACTGTACGAAGGCCAACACTTTCTCAAGTACGAAGACGCTGATTTAGGTCGCGGGAGATACCATGCAAGTCACAGATAAATACATAAAGACGGATAGCAGTCCCTCACGCGTTTGCCTCGCTTGCTCGCTCGCTCGCAAGAAACGAGCTCACGCGTGTGACAATCCTGAGGGACTGCGAGCCGAGCCTGACATAAAGAAAACCTTTGTTAATGGTGGGTCATATAAAAGACACAGTACGTCACAAGGAAGTTTACGGAACGATCAAGTTCAAAATTCACCGCGACACTATTTGAATATTAAGGCGATATTACTTGGGACGATTCGCAACGGCAATTTTATATTTTAGCCCAACACAGCATTACAACATTCTTTCGAATGGTTGCAACGTCGTTCAAACATTGCAAAGCTGTGTTGCGCTAAAAATCATCGTTGCGAATCATCTAGTCTAACAGCACCTTTGGCGAATAAGGAATGTTAATATTTTGTGCCGGATCGCGCTTAATAACAATGGGGTAAATGCAACACTGGAGATCGATCGAGAAAACATGGGCAAAAATATTACGCCAGTACTATTCGGCTTTATCAATAAATGGTCCGTTCTCCTTTCCTTAAAATCATCAAGTCACCCAACCTGTGTCGCTGATTATCCATTACATCATCATAAATGAATGGGGGTGTGTAGTAATCTACCCCTCCCTCCTCCTTCGAAACGTCCCACGTAGAAAGGTGGGGCGGGGAGAAGCGTTAAGATGCTCTATTCACAGGAGAGATTTGTATTGTTTATCAATCCTGAATCAAAACTCTCCCCTCTTGGCAAGAAAACAGAAGTGAATTTGAAAAGTGTTCCAGCAATTTATCGGAAATCACCATGGTTCGTGAGAAATGATATTCTAATGACCTGATGTGAGTTGATTTTCTCATTCTCCCCAGCGGTTCGTGTGGCCGCATGATATAGTGTGCGTCTTTTGGGTTGGTGATGAGCACAACAGGCCACGTGTTCAACCGCACGTCCACAAACGAGATCAAGTCATGATCAACGGCCAGCACTCTGTAGCTGAAACAGATAAGGAAGGGGAAAAATTAATATTAGTATCAACTCCTCCCAAAAAACCCTTGTGAAGACAGACAGCTCAAGTGCTGCCTGCGGCCTCTCTCCTCCGCAGAGGCATAAAGGGGCTTGGCGAGAGTGAGAGAGGCATGGCGCGAGTGAGTGCGGGCACGAAAATGTTCTGTCGTCGCGCCTGCACTCACTTTGCGTAGGGGAAATCCAATAACGCGTGACTGAATCTCTGCGGAGGAAAGTGGCCTGTGGCTATAGAGAAAAAACAAAAAGACAAACAAACAAACAAACAAACAACCAAAACAAAACTTCTTAGAAAGAAGGCATGGCTATTTTTAGGGTGCGTTCGATTGGGAAATCTGGATTTACAATTTAAAATCCGCATTTCGGATCTGCAATCGTACGCGAAATCTGAAAATGGATTTCGACGATATCCGTTTTTGGATTTGCGTTTTCACCGTTCGATTGGGAAATCCGAAAAAATTGATTTGAAAAACTGTCCTTAAGGGCAGCGGTCTTGCACGCACACGCACAATTAGCAAAAAGAACACCGTTGTTCACGAAAGCAGTTTTGCGAATCCTTTTTCGGATTTCCCAATCGAACGGTAAAAAGGAAGTCTATGAAATCCACATTTGGATTTCCTAATTGAAATCCACCCAGCGAACGGATTTCTCGTAGGGGAAATCCGTTTTCGGATTACCCGGATTTCGAGTTCGATTTCAAAATCCGAAATCCGGATTTCCCAATCGAACGCAACCTTAATTTGCGATCTTATGTATGTCCTGACGGGTTCTTCTAGCCTCGTTCCCGGGCCAGATCTTGCTACCCGAGTAAGTAGAGGAGGCTTGGAACTGACTGAGCTCGAATTTCTCGATAAGCTTGACATGTAACGTCACCTCCTGAGGTTTCCTTCGAAATCGCCGAGGACGACTGGGGACGAGACTGGCGTTCTTCGTAATAATGAAGTATCCACAAGGCAAGAGATGACTGTTATGTAATTAACAAAAACGTTTATTGATTTATTCAAGACATATATATATCGCTGCAAATATATGTGAATGTTATTCTTACTTTCTTGTATCCAGCCAGTCTCCAAGCTCTAGTTCCAAGTGCCCGTCAACGTGTACAGCGTGCATTTTGGGAACAATTTCTGCCAGCGTATGAAGATGGCCACACAGATAAACGGCCCCTGATCTGAAAAGAATTATAACAGTACAGGTGTGCCGTAAAGGTAATTCAAATGACCTTTAGAGAATTATTATTTAATTGAGCAAACGTAAGGGAATTACGATATTAGATGACCACAGCGACACTGGTGAAATCTGACTTTGCATCATTGTAAACCTTTTCGCGAATATTTCAAGTTGTTCAAGGAACTAATCTTTCAGAAATTACGTTGTGGATGGACTAAGGGTGCTAGGAGACAAAGGACATTGAGAATCAACCTAGGTTAAAAAAACTAGTTAACCTGAAATTGAATTTGACCCGTAACATATACATGTACAAGTCAATCTAAATAACTTTACCTTAAAATCCTCCTAACATAGGGTGTTGTTGTGACCGAAAATGGATGATGCCCAAACCAAATCGTCATATTAAAAGACTTGCTGGCATCAGCCAATCTCTCCATTTCATTTGTGCGTTCCTTTGAAAAAAATCACGAGGTATATCAATCAACATACTCACTTAAAGGAGACAGTTATCCCTTGAACAATAATTGTGTCTCCAGTAAGATATGGTCATCTCTCACTATCTTGACCCTACCTTTCACCCCTGGCCTGGGTTGCTCAAATGCTGGATAGTAAAGTCATTTGCATCATCCACCAGACAGATATTTATCCAGTGGATAGTGTTATAGGAACCTTTTAAGTGACTGGAGACTGGAGTCAATATGGAGGGCAGGAACCATAAAGTATTGTTCTAACTTGTGAGTCTGTGGATGAAATCCTATTCATGTACCCCTCAAAATGTTGCATATCCCGCATTGGGATGGCTGGCATGACTGGAATGTTTGTAATACTAAGCAGAAATAGGAAATAATGGTTACTGTATGCAAAATTTTGGGGGTAAATGAGGTGTATTATGGGCAATGTGAGAATCGTGAATTTCAGAAGGATTTATATAAAGTCATCAAAGCATAACGGTATTTATATCTCAACACCCTGACATGCTCATTTTGAGCAAGTGGACAATTTTTATCTTGTCTCTCTGAATATTCAAACATGTCCTGTAATTTCACATCTTTTCTTTTTTTTTTGACATCGTTACTTCAGTTCTCTTCTGTATTATTTCAAACACTGCTTTATGCCACCACTGTATGGTCCGCGTGCTCCCACAGGTAATTTGAATTTGCAGTGGGTTTTTCGTCTCCAAAAGTAAAGTGCACGCATTATCCTTGACGCCGACATGAGAGCGAACAGTGTTGAACTATTAATGAAATTAAACTGGCTTCCACTTCATGTGAAAGTAAACATTTGTATTCAAGTAAACGTATTATGGGCATAGTCCAGGAAACATGAATGATCTTCTGGTATTAAATTCGGATGTACTAATAATTGGAATAGTCGAAATAGCTCCTTCAACTTAGTCTGCCCTCGCTTCAAGTTTGAAACCAAAGGGGGGTGGGGAAGGGGGGCCTACACTTGGTGTGAGGGTAGCAACATTATGGAATACAATACCAAATTCCAAAGAAGAATGAATGTGTACATAGTTTTAAAAAGGCCTTAATTAACTTTTATGCATCTTCCTAATTTTCTTTGTTCTAATTTTTATCTTCAAATGAAGTTGATACGTACATACACATACATTCATTTGATTGAAGAGCATTGACTATAAATAACTTCAGAAGTTCAGGTTTCAGGAGTTATCACCATTTATTTAGACAGTGCTGTTTCGTATGGTCAAAAGTTATAGGACCACAACTTTAGAGTAGCACAGGTAAGACACAATGCATCTGTTACCTAGTAGATACAATCTCCGGAATGTAATGCATCCCCATAGCAACAATCCAAATTTTACAGCCAGCTTTTAATTTTAACGGTCAATCGTTGAAGACGCCTGATGAGTGTGGTCCTATAATTTCGGACAATATGAAACAGCACTGTCGCAACAAACGATGATTACTCCTGAAGCCTGAACTCCTGACGTCATGTACTCACACGCACACAACACCTACACATTGGGTATACCTACTGGATCGACATGGCCGAAGAAATTAAATGGTCTTTTGGGTCCCGGATCTGGATTGAGGTCTATTCCATTGAATGCATAGGAACCGTACTCAGTTCGGTAAACAAACTGATATGGCTTTGAACCTGCATGGCCCTTTGGACCACTTGAAGAATAGTCTCTAAAAAAGGAAAGAATTTCTCCCTCAATAAATATTATTATTCTTAATTGCATTCTATGCACTGTCTTACTAAAATGCATTTGATTGATTTTTTTGTATATGATTTTCCATATACCATATTTCTTCTTGTAACAGATCCCTGAACTACACAGCTTTTCATATGATCATCATCATCATCATCATCATCATCGTCATCATCATCATCATCATCATCATAGTAATCATTATTATCCTCATTGTCTTCATCATCATCATCATCACCATTATTATCATCATCATTATTATTACTTTTTATTTTTATTTGTTACTGATTATTGGGCATTTTACTGCGCTTTTCACAAACATGCGAACTCTAAAGTTCAAAAGCCGCCTTCACAATTGCGTTTTTCACTGCCGTCAATCATAATTACGATCACAAGCAACGAACCTTGAAACACAAAAACACACAAAATGGATCGAAACCCACCAATCACAAATCACAAACCTTGACCTTTTGAACCCGTTAAAGTAAAGTTTTGTTTCCTAGGAGGTCCGTTAAGATGATTAACAGCAGCGAAAAACGCAATCGTCAGTTGGCTTTTGAACTTCAAAATTCGCATGTTTGTGAAAAGTGCAGTAATATAGGTAAGCAGAATTTTAGGCATCAGTTTGGGAAATTATAAATGCTGACTCTTCGTACTCACTTGAACATATTTTCAGCACTTGTGATTGAAGGAACACTGAATGCATCTGATAGTAAATATAAAGACAATAAACAATGCGTAAAAAAAATTAGCAAACATAATACACGAAACAATCACAAAATGTAGACACATGCAATGACACATCCCAATCATGTCATACATCTGAAGCCAGATGAGTGATCTTACTAAACCTATGAAGACAGCATGTGACAACAATTATTAGTGCCAAATAGTTACAGGTAAACATAAGAAAACTATGTAATTAGAGTGGAATACTGCATATTTGTCTAATATTCATTTTACAAGCACAATCACCCTTAGAAATTTTCTAATTTAGGCAGCTCAGTAGACTTGTAACCCTATTACGGTTTCAGTCAGACACAACAAGACTTCTACAGAGTAATGAGTTTATGGCTACTGGTCAATTAATGATCAAATTAAAATAGAAATCATAAAAGCTCAATGTTTACCCAGTAGCTATGTGGCCACCAAGTTTAAACTCTGTTATTAGTATAAGTTTTACTAACCATGGTTTCCTCTTAGGTCTAACCATTTCGTTTTCTCCTGGACTTTTGTTTCCTTCAAGATACTGTTATATTCTTGCCATTCTTCTATATACTGCTCAGAACCACGTTTAGATTCATCCTTTGCATCTGTCAAATCACCTTTTAAAGGACAAAAAAAGGTTAAAACATGTGATTTTCATGACTTCCATAATATGAGATGCGATTGAAAGGGAAAAGGCTGGACATTTTAAATGACAGCTTTAATAAGTAAAAATGCATAAAACAATTTGTATCATAGCAGAGCTCCACGCACATGTGAGCAGATCCTCATATCTAAGAAAAATTGGTAATCTATCCATCCAAGAAATTTTGGTAATCACATGACTGTACATCTATCTAGATATATCTGTCTGTCTGTCTGCATCACAGGGAAACCAATGTAAAATGTCAAACTTCCTAGCTAGTGCCGGAGCCTGTACCTGACTTGATAATTAATAGACATCCACATTATGGTCAATTAATAGCTGTCAAAACAGGGTATCCACTGACCATTGTCACATGACCACATTGCTGGCCCAGGTGCCATCTCATTGAGGTCATGTGTTTTTTGAAGTTTTCTGCTAACCAGTCGTTAGCTTTTCATTGATCGCAGTTTCAAGTTTATGTTTTTCAGTAATATGGTTCTCCCCTAAAGTTATTAGTATAGATTTCTTTGCAATCGTTTAAAGTCCATTGTCTGAAGTTTATTTAAAATGCATTCAGGAGCTTTGCTTTTAGCTCTGACTAAATCTACATGTCCAACCAAGCTCTCACTATCTCACTAGCCAAAGGGATTGGTAAACTTGGAGATAATTATATAGCTGTCAGAGACATTCAAACACACCCAAAACCATTATTTTAATCAAGGTGAGGACTCTGGCAGCATTTTGACTGCACTCCAAACACAAGAGTGACAACTATAATGGACCAACATGAGAAAGTGTATTTTATTCAATCAAATTACATGTTAACAAAAAAACTACATTGTTACACTGTATTTCCTTACCTGTAGCCAAGACTGCAATGGGCCTGATTACATCTATATTTTCATTACAAAACTGCTTGAGATCTTTACCTCTTTGAGGCTCACGGTATTTGCTGATGTGAATATCTGATACCTTATGAATTAAAATAATAAACTTAGAACAATAACATAATAATTTTATTAGGAAACATACCATTTGTCATGGATTTTAAGAAAACGAAACTAGTAATACTGTTATAAAGTAATAATTTTATTGTAATGTATTTCAAAGGTTGTACCATACAAAAGTAATACAATAATCAATAGAGTAAATTCACTTAACTTAAAAATTCTTCTTGTGTGGTCCTCATAGCCCGAAAGCAAAATCTTGCATTTGCCACACAGAAGTTACCCTGTGCCTTAATGTCAAAATTAATAACTTATGTGTTCACGGAATAAAGAAACTTGCAGATTGACAACAAGACGACTAAATAGGGTAGTATGGAGAATTTCCTAAATAAGTTAATTAATCCAACTGTAAGAACATATGGATTTAAAAAAAAAAAGTTCCCCGCCTCAAAAACCCTACGCATTCGGACTAAACAACAACCCTATATGCTCGGAATAAAAAGACACTATATCAACAAAAGAAGAGCGCAGATGTTAAATGAAAACCTTTTTTTTGAGAAAAACACCGGCCCGGAAAGAATCACATGATGCGTGTGCATTTCGTTCTTACCTGCACGAACCAAAAAATATTTTCCATTTTGTCGCTCGGAAATGGAGCCGCATTTGCCCTCGAGTGAGGCTTGAGTGACTTGCCATGTCCGGTGTAATAATCTAGTAAAACAACAATAAACCAAGACGAAGCTAAAATGATTACAAGAAGGATCAGTGAGAGAAGACCTTTCAAGCCGACCGCCATGATGTAATTAGAACCTCGCTCGCACGGAGGGAAAGTATCCGGTTTAAGAGTCCGGAAATGACGTGTCAAACAAAAGTCCTGTCGATGACCGCCAAGGTTAACCAAGGTTTCTTAGATTAGATCCACGTTGATGAAAAAGAAGTAAATGATTATCTCAAGAGCTAAAAGTGGAAAAATGTTTATTAATTTATCTTCTTTTGAGGGCAACACAATGTATGGTATAAAACAAGCATTTTACATGACCAGGATCTCGTCATCTGAGCCGGTATGCAACCGCTGAGAATGGAGGGTAATTTGAACGGACAAAACAGACGTGGCAGCTTGGGGTTGCATGTGTTGTTTGGAAGTCTAAGAAAATAATTAGCACAATAATGGCTAGTTTCGGTGTAAAACGCTCTCCTACGGCTGCCTCCGTTATAGCAGAGAACCTAGATGTAGATGTTAGTGTTGTTTGTACTGTTTTAAAGCTGCTAGATAAAGACAACACAGTCCCTTTTATCGCTCGCTATCGCAAAGAACAAACTGGAGGTTTGGATCCTACAGTCTTACGGAAC